CTGTTAAGAAATTGTGCAATTTAAAAACTGTATTTACTTTTATTTTAAGGTCTAAATAATTTATAAATAAACTAAATAATTTAATATAAAAATTTACAATTCAAATTTTTAATTTTATTCATTTATTTTATTTTATTTTATTTATTTTTTAATTTTAATTTTGGCTTCCTCATCACTTAAAATTGATATTTATATGTATTATTATTTAATTTATTATTTATTATTTTAATTGAATTGGCAAAGGTTTGCCTAATTAATTCTACTAAAAAGATGACCTGTCTCTGTTGTATACCCATTAAAAATGGGAAATCAGGCTAAAATATGTTTGTAAAAATTTACATTATTTAGTATGTAGGATATAATTTTTTAATAGAGCTATATGCTTAAGTAACTCTAACATCATCTGCGGCCCAAGGGCTATGCCTATAGCATGCTCGCAAGTGAAGCACTTGTGCCACAGAAACCATAAAATCCACCCACTGTACAGCACCAATAGAGTGAGCGAAAGAGAGAGGGAGAGAGAGAGCAGTGGTGTGAGGGGCATCGCTAGCAGTAAAGTGCAAAGTCTAATATTCGAAATGCCTGCGAGCAGAGCTGTACTTAAAGTTGTTGGCATCGTTTAAGTAGCGAGCGTTTGAGTTGAGCCACTTTCAACTCAATTTCCGTGGGCAACTGGTGGAAAAGCGCCTTTAAAGCGAGCCCACCGAAACGGAGACTGAGCACGCGAAGCGTCTCGGTGGGCAGTGCTAAACTGCAGCTGGAGCTGACAAAATATTTTGATTACTTTTGCACATTGGCAACACTTCAAAGTGTGCGAAGATAGCACGAGGAGACGCGCTCAAGCATATTTTCAAAATAAATATTATTGTAGTAAAGTTGTCGGCGAATTTGTCGCAAATGATAAGGACACACACACACACAGAGAGAGAGAGACAGACGGACAGACAGAGCCAGCAAAGTCAGCAGAGAGACAGCGAGCAGGAGCCGTGCGGGCAGGAGCAGTCACAATGACAGTGCTTGTCGTTGTCCGAGTCAGGCTGGCTTCTTGGTGCGGCTCCCTTGTCAAGTGCGGAAGTGCAGCCCCGGCGAGTGTCTGCCTGTTGATGACACTTTGATGTTTTGGTCAAAAAACTTGGCCGAAAAACCGAAGAACAAGCAGTCGCTGCAACTTGGACTTTAGCTTAAATGAATATGCAAGCTTGCCCTATATCTGTGTGTGTGTGTGTGTGACTAAGAGCTGGCTATAAACAGCAGCTGCCTGAGCTAGTGTTCCATATCTATAATATACAGCTCTTAAGAGCTGAGCGCATGCACCATAATCAACAGTGCAAGGCCAGCGAACATCATTTGCTGTCATAAAACTTGGCCAAAATGTTTGCCTCTCCCAGTCAGACCCAATCCCAATCCCAGTCCCAGTCCCAGTCCCAGTCCGGTTTTCCCAAAAATTGCTAGCTGTCTGCACTTAATGGAAAATGTCAGTTCGCCTGCAGCGTCAAACGTTTTATTGAAGTTTCCACTGAAGCGTCCAAGTGGCCCCGGCAGCCAACGCTGCGCTACCTTCACTGGCTCTCATATCCTTTTTCATTTTTTCTATCTCTCTCTCTCTCACTCTGTCTCTCTGCTGTGGCCAGCAGAGCTGCGCCCGTTAAATTTAACGAACCGGAAGCGCTAAAAGTGAAGCAGCTCCAAATGGCTTGAGCTGACAACAGAAGGAGACAGAGCTAAATGGAGAGAGAGAGAGAGAGAGAGAGAGAGAGAGGGAGCTGCTTGCTTGAACTCTTACAAGTGCGGAAATCTGATGATCTGATGAGCAAATTGCACTCACCAAACAGTCAGATGAAATATTATGTATTTTTAATGCGGCTTTCAATTGTGTTTGGATGGTTGTTATGCGGATGAAACATCAAGTTTGCCCCCCACAGCCAAGAAGTCGCTCAAGGATATTAACTGCAAGCAGGAATTGAAAATTGACAGCACAGTTGCCTGGGCAGATTATAGACTCTATGGGATTGAATTGACGGAATTTAAATGGGGGGCGTGGCGCGGTAGTGGCTTGTAGAAGTAGTTGTAAATGTAAAAGTTGCCGGAAATGTATAAAACTTGGCTAAAGTTTGAGCAGACGCAAAACTTTATAAATAATTTAGATTCAATTAAATTAATGGACAAGCTGGCTTTCATTTATCGTACATTACATGAAGTTAAGATATAATTATTTATTAAAATATTTTTAATATATAATATAATAATAATAATTTTAAATATATATGAATATCAATTTATTTATATAAATTTCTATATAAATATTTTATAAAGAAAGTTTATTAATAAATAAAATCTATATAAAATATGAATTATTATTTTTTTAAAGGATTAAATTTACAATAAAAAACTAAAAGAAAAATATTATAGCAAGTCAGGAAAAACTTGTCACTACACTGCTCAAAAAAATGTAAGGCAGCAACGCTTCGTCTAGCATTTATTCATTCCTGTAAGATTCGCTGAGAGAATCGAACCAAATTTTACTAAAGTGAATTATTTTTTACGCATTTAAATCTTAATAAGTTTTTTTTTTTACTATTTGAATTTTTCGAATTTTTGTAATTTGTTTAAATAATGAATACCAAAATTAAACAATCGAAGGAAATCATATCAAAATTGCCGACTGAATCAAGTTCCCATAGAATGGACGGTGAGAAAAAGATTTTTAGCTCGATGTTCGAGATCTATGGGCGTGTACAGGGTAAGTACATTCATTAATAAGAGAATAAATATATTAATAATATATTTTCTTAGGCGTATATTTTCGTAAGGTAAGTGGACGTTAAATAAAAAACATTTAGGTTGATATTGAAAGCAATCTCTTCTGGCTGTGAAGCACACACAAATCAAGGCCAAGCAGCTTGGACTGAATGGCTGGTGCATGAATACCCAGGAAGGCACCGTTAAGGGAATTATGGAAGGACCACAAGACATGCTATCCGAGATGTGAGCACTGCTACTATATATAATAGTTTGATTCCGTTCATTAATTTCTGTTAACTTTGACAGGCGCTTGTGGCTGCAGCACAAGGGCAGTCCACGTTCCATAATTGAAAAAGCCGTCTTCACGCCTTTCGAGCCCATCCCCAATCACAATTACCACACTTTTTCAATCAAACGTTAAGCATTGGCTCAACCCACTTCTACTGAATAAAGACAAGACTAAATGTTACTAAATCATATATGTGTATATATATTGGGATCTGCCTTGGCGGTATTACGAGGCATGTAACACATGTTGGATGCGCGACGTACGTGCTGTCACGTCTCCTCTCTCTCCTTTCTGGGGCGTGGCAAGCAACTTTTGTTGCCACCATTATATGTCCCAGTATGTGCAATTGCCAAGCCACAAAATGGCCAAAGTTGGCCAACAGAAAGCGGCAAAAAAGAAGTATGAAAGTTTTCAGATCCGCAACAGCAGCTTGGGGAATTGGCTCGACAATATTGGCACGTGTCGCAGCTCGTAGAACGCGCCATTTGTCGTCCAATTAGCCAGCTCTGGAGCGCGGCTATTCGAAATAATAGAACGTATTTTCGTTCTAAACAATTTCCACACAGTATTTGTCAAAAAAAAATATATATATATGTATATAAACACAACGCAAAAATTGTCGCAACAATTTCAATTTATTTGTCGCGGCCATCAAAAAAATTTTTGCGCCTCTCTCTCTCTATCTCTCTCTCTCTCTCTCTCTGGGCTCTAAAGCTGGTCAAAAGTTTGCGCCACTTTTGCCAATTTAGCAGCAAATATTGTTGTTGCACGCCCCCAGCCCCCGGGCTCCGGGCCAACGGGACCCTCGTGCATAAAAGCAAAAACAAAATTTGCATAAATAAATAAAAGTTGCAGACTTTGAAATGTAACAGTTGGCGCTTGACTGCAATTAAAATCGGCCGCGCACAATTTGAAAGCCTGAAACTCCCCTCGGGTTTGTTTTTATAGCAGCGAATATTGCCCTGACTTCAGTTGTCGTTGTTGTTGCTTTGCTTTTGCTTTTGTTTTTGTTTTCGTTTGGCTGGCTAACTGGCACTTTATAATAAACTGTTAAAACCGCAAAAATTGCAACAAAAGCGCTTGCCAGCTGACCAGACTGCTGCAGCGCTTGACAAGCAGCAGAGTAGTTGCCTGCCGTGCCACACACACACACACACACACACACACACACACACACACACACACACACACACACAGCAAAACAGATTCGCATAAATTTGGACAAAAACTACATTTATGGGAGTTTTCGTGAAACTTTTTGTGCTGGCAGCACTGCATGGAAATTTATATATATATTTTAATAAGTTTCATATTTGTAAAAAAGTAATTTGATTATTTTATATATAATATGAAGTCATATGCAATAATATACTTTATTGATTACGTATATAAATTTAAATATATATTTAAATATATATAGACATCTGTTCTAATACTCATACGAGTCTGTTCCTATGTATTCTACACGATCTCAAGATTGTCCCGTTCAACCAACTAAGGGCGTGGCTGAACGAAAAATGTATTTGTTCATATCGTGGCAAATCGAATGTAACTCTATCAAAATTTAGTCGTTGACGCCCGACTGCAAAGTTCTTACTTATTTTAACTGTATGACAGATCTACATTGCCCAACGCTTTATCGATTCAAATAAATTTGCCCTGAAATTAAATCAAATTAATTTTTTGATACCCAAAACAATTCTGCTGTGATGAACATTTTTATTTATTTTTAATAAGTTTCATATATTTTTCTTCCACTGCACTAAGCTTTATAATTGCTTTATATTGCGAAATAATAAATATATCTTTATTTTATTTTTATACTCCATTTTTTTGGTACACAAAAGCAAAATTTATTGCAAAAAATGTTAAATCCACATTTACATGACCTAAAAAGAATCAGATGAATTTATTTTTCCAGCTGCACAATTATAAAGCACACAGAATGGTAATTGAAAAACAAATATCTATAATTAAGTTTGTAGGTGAAAAAGTTTATTATAAACCAATAAAATGACGAAATTCAAAAACAGAATGAAAGTCGAGAATCTGCCGAATATTTGTGAATCCAGTCTATCGAGACATAACACTAGAGAGGTATTTTTTACGAATCGAATACTTGCTGCTGTTGGCTGGGATGGCGATAGTAAACGACTTGTCGAGGCCTCATATCCCTAACGATCTCACGCTGCAGCAGCTGCTTGTATAGCAACATTTTGCGTTTGGTTTCTGGGCTGCCAGCAGCGGAGCTGAATTGTAGAACTGAGCTCTTGACCTTTGACCTTTGAGCAGTTGAAATTGATATCGTAAATACATAATATATCTACTCGACGGACTTACTGCTTTTCGTTAGGCATTTTGAGAGCCTCGAATCTGTATATTGGTTTTTAGATTTTTCGAATTTCTTTCAGGCTTAGTTGACTTGTTAAAATTTTCATAGAAACTGGTTGCTCGGCCAAGGCAAGGCAAAGCCAACGCAGATTTATGGCATTTGTTTCATAGGCTACTCTAGCATTATCTCGCCTCGCCGAGCAGCACACATAAACATGCCACAGCAATTATCGCAAATACACGCTAATCGCACCACGTTCCTCTGCACTCAATTAAATAACCTTTGACCTCGTTACGTGCATTTCCTAAAACACGTCACGGGCACTTTAAACGGAAAGCTGCAATCGAGAGTGGAATAGATACCCTGTAAACAGCTTTATTATCCAGAAAAAAATGTTTTTATATTTAATATAAATATTCACATATTATTAAAATATATAAAAAATTTTACTATATATATGAAATGGTCTTTGAAAATATTAAATTTTAATATACAGATATATATTCTAAGGACTGGAAAGGCTTTAACAACTGCTTAAAGTATAGATATTCACTTCTTTGATTTTCGTTTATAATTCTTTGTATTTTAGATATTATTTTTTTTTTATTTATTTATTTTCTTTTTTATTATATTTATTTATTTTATTTATTTATTTATTTTTTTTTATTATTATATTTTTTTGTGTATTTATTTATTTATTTTATTTATTTATTTATTTATTTTCTTTTTTATTTTATTTATTTATTTTATTTTTTCTAATTTATTAATTTATTTATTTATTTATTTTTTTTATTTTTTTATTTTTTTTTTTTGTTTATGTCTTTTATTTAAAACCACTTTTAAACTTCATTTTATTTTCCAATTTTGTAAAATTTCATCTTCTAATATTTTTGAAAAATATGAAATATGCGCAGGGTATCAGGCACAAAATGAAGTCATTTAATTTCGTAATTTGTATTTGGGATTCTAAACAGGCAAACGGCAACGCGGCACGCAAATAGATAAAACGCAGCCGACAAACCAGCGGAAGGCGAGGGCTCCTGAAATATATACATCGAGAGAGAAAGAGACAGCGAAAAAGGGATGGGGCCAAAATATAGTGTCGATAATCAATTCCGTTTTCCGGCTGATGCTTGATTTGTTCCTGTACGTCGTTGTTGCCGTTACGTGCGTGACCCAAAATATATACATGTGTATGTATGTATGTATGTATATGCATCAATATTTTCAGAAAAACAAAATATGCATAACATTATTGTAATCATATTGAGGCAGCGCCCTACGCTGCGCGGATTAGCTGCCGCCGCGAGGAGGCGGCTGGGCGTGGCAGGGCATGCATGCATGCTCGGCTGTTAACTGAAATGTTGTTGCCGGTTTTAGCTTTATTTTCGAATGCTTGCGTGCTCGTCGCTTGCATGTGGCATGGCAAAAGGTTCCATTAGTGTTGATAACGAGTTCATTGGCACATTGATGCCTATTGATTATCGAACTAACGAAATAACGGTTAATGTGTCGCCCCCAACTAGCCGTTGAAACATTTGTTCGGGCTTAAATGGAATTCACAATTGAATAATGACAGCCAATTTTGTGGCTCAGTTGGGTCAACTATGCCAATGAATATTTATGTATATTGTTTTGATAATATGACGGGCTTTAGACTACAATTAGCATGTAGTTGTATATTATTTATAATGCGGTCAATGACCAATGGGACATTCATGTGTATAAGATAAGAGAAATGAGATGTTTGGTTTATGAAATATGCAAAGCAAAATGATTTACGAATTATTGTTTTATGAAATATTTATGTGTTTGATGCTGCCTCGATTTAAAACTCTTGAAATATTTTGAATGATTTTGCACTAAAAGTAAAAATTTATGAATTTAAAATTGTCTGTCACCGAAAAAAATGTCAAAACTTTATAAAATGCGCGACAAAAAACTTGTCACACACAAAGCCCATAATTAAAATATACATTTTTAATGACCATTTTTTGCATGCAGTTTTATAGCTAAAAAAAAAGAAAAAAATGGCATGCCTGTAAACAAAAACAGTTCCAATTAAAATATAACAAACAGGAATGTATCTAATAATAATCGATATGGCCAGATTGAAAAGGTTTTTATATTTTTTTGTAAAGTTACGAATAGGTTTAAAAAAGTATATAACATCTGATGGACATTTTAAATTGCTTAAAAAAAGAAACGCTTAAATTCATCTGCATTTGCAGCAGAGATTACGAATGTAAAAGAAATTCAGTCAAATTTAATATGTAGAATACTAAAAATATATATTAAATAAATATTTTGCAAATGTTTTTTTTTTTTGCATGCTCAGCTTGTTTCCTGCTACCAAAAGCCAATATCAAGCTCTGAACTTCAATTGAAGTCACAAAGCTGCGACTTATTCGCCGGATTGTCTCTGGGCGAGAGCACAGAGTCCCACAGAGTCTCTGCCCTGGCTGGCAGCTTATTACAAATGCAGACCATGTTCGACGCGCAATGCCGAGCTGAGCAAAGCCGTGCAGACTGCAACCAAATCTCAGTCTAAGGCACTTGCCAAGGCTTAGACTTTTCCGGCATTGGCCACAGCTGCGCTGGTCTGAGAGACGAGACGAGTGCATGGAGTCTAGACGCAAAGCCATTTGGCCACAACTGTCAGAATTGGCTTGGGCCAAAACGTAGCATGATGAACTCTGCCAAAAATCTACAGCAATATAAATATATATATATATATTTTCGAGTGTATACATATACATTTTTTTTTTTCAGCAAATTTCTATACACTATAGCGCGCTAATTTGGTATGCATGCAACAAGCGACACGTTGTGGCTCTCTGCCACGCCCACATCGTTGCCGCATGCAGCTTGCATGTTTATTCGCCATGTTGCGTGCCAATTTGATAAATGTCGCATTTGATTAGCGGGCCCAAAAAACCCTCCAGCCCCGCCCACTCTTAGCCACACTCTCTCAACCCCGCCAACGAGTGGTTTGCATGCGCGGCAATTGAGAAATTTATACAACGCAAACTTTGGCAAACTTTGCATAGTAAATAGGCGTGCGATAAGAATACACGGAAACGCGGAAAATCTTGTTTTGTTTAACAGTTTATGGCATACCGAAAGGCGCGCTAACGGAATGCGATCCGTACAAAACTTTTGTTTGGCTGCGGCCCCTTGGAAACTTGTTATGGCCAAATATTTTTCGAATTTTATTTACCAGCTTTGATTTGTTCGCGCAGAGTGCGAGACGCTAACCCAAAATGCCAAAAGGGCAAAGGCCAAAAGGCAAAAGGGCAAAGTGGCCAAAAAGTTTTGTGGCTTTGAAGATTTGAAGTTGCGTGGAAAGGGATGCCTTTGGACCTCGGCATACAGCAAATGCCACTTGCATGCCGCGCTCTTTAATTTGTTGTTTCGGGCTCCTAATTGGCCATGGGATAGTATTTCATATTTGAAATGTCTAACATGACAAAAGCATGAATGTGAGAGCTAAACCAGATATGGAGCATGTCGAAAGGGAAAAAGGGTTTGTATGTAAAC